GCATCATAGGCCGGGATTGTGAAACAGAAACTGAGCAGTAGCCGTTGTCTAGTTTGTTCTTCATTTCCCTGCTTCTGAACATCTGCATACCTTCTACCCCAGCTGAGTCACTCCAGTGATCTGTGGTGCGCAGTCGCAGACGCTGGGAAATAAAACTATCACAACAGAGTGTAGGGAGTTTGGAAGGAGACAGGAAAGGAAGGAGAGGGGCCACATATCTCCTGCACCCTTATGACTAGGACTTGTCCTTCTGTATTTCTTTGGTGCCTTGCGATAGACGGTTTTGCTGTTTGCAAGCAATTTCAGTGCCTGTGCTGTCTATATTTCAAGTTACTCTTACTTTCAGTGCAGTCCATAAACTCACTCCCACCCCCACAGGTACTCACTGAACTCTTCCAAAGTCCCCTTAGCTCTCTGCCTGCTTTCCACCCATTGACAACAGCTACCCGACATTCAGATGTGGTCTTTCACACAGCTCCTTGGGTCCACCCTCATTCTCCCCCTAATTCCCAACCCAGTCCTTCCCCTCTGTCGATCCTTTCCAGTTGTAGAACCTTCTTTCTCTTGCCTTGCACCAGTTAGCCGTAATTCTCTCCCCTCCACCAAGTCACTTCACCTCTTCCACTCACACCTCAGATGCCTTCCTCTGATTGGCCTGGGCATGGCTAGGCAAAGTACAGCAATTCCCTAGAAACAAATTGGTCTCCACCTCTAAAAGTTTGCACCTCTACCCGAAAGACTTTTACAGCCCTGGAAAATGTGACAGCGCACAGATCCCTAGAAGACTAACAGTCGCTCTCAAAGTACACAGAATAGAGCACTCTCAAAATGTTGGTGAGGTGAGGTGAGGTTAAAGTTGCAGGCACATGTCAACGGTTTAATGCCAAAGTTGCGTTCAATTGTTAATTTCAATTGTGTAGAAAGCTCTATTCTGACAAGTCCCTTCATCCTCATGGAACGTTCCAGGGATGCCAAAATAGCACACCCCTTATTTCGAAATAATGGGAGTGTTTAAAGACACAGAATAGCTATTTGGGTTACTTAAGAGTCCCCAGCTGACTCCGGGCTCCATGCAGTGCTGCCACTTTGAAATGCCAGGGGCCGCACAGGGCCAGTGGGGGTCTGCTTGAGTCCCTTGCTGGCCCCATGCTTGCCGCAGTGCTTTTGCCGTTGAAGCGTAGCAACAGCTCTGGGGAGGTGCCCTTATCAACTAATTGAATAGTCAATGAAAATTGCATGATCTATTCAAATAGCCAATTAACCTAAATTTAACATCCCTGCTATAGTGATGCCTTAACTATTGTGCTTATTTTTGTCTTACACAGCAATGCATATGCCTTCAATTGTTGGTTGACTAGATGGGAAGTATTCTACATCTTCTTGTTTAAATTATATCTCTATAACTAGTGTAGACATACCCTAGCTTAGTGGCATCTGTGAATTTGATGAGGGTACAATATATCCCATCATCTGGGTGCTAGAACTAGCCCTAGAACCGACACTTGGAGCAATCTGAGGCCTGCGCTTAAAGGGACACACACACACACACGGGCAGCTGGCTCTAAGGTGTCCCTACTTGCTTGCCTGCCTTGCTGTAGGACAGCAAAGCATTTGTGTCTCAGAGTACCCTGGTTGCCCTCACTTGGGTCACCATAGGACTCTGCAACATGGAGCCAGAGCTGCCCCTGGGCACTCTGGTGCTTTTCATGGATGTGTTGCTGTGAGCCTGACTGTACTTACTGCAGGCTGCCATCCAGGAGGTCCATCGGGGGGCTGTCAGTATCCAGGAGGCCCTGTGGGAGAGCATCCACACCAAGGAGCACTAAGAGCCTCTCCGGTCCTCCCCACCAGGGGCTCGTGCCCCGTCTGCAGGCTGCCATCCGGGAGGACCATTGAGGGGCTGTCATGATCCAGGGGGCCCTGCAGGAGAGCTTCCATCCTGAGGCGTGCTAATAGTCTCCCTGGTCTGCCCTACTGAGGGCTTGTGCCCAATTCCTCCGTCTCACCCTTCCCTAGCCCCCCCCTTCCTGATGTCAAATAAAATACCCTTTTCTCTCAAAAATACAAACTCTGTTTATTTAACAAAACTGTGGGGGGATGAAACTCTGGGAAGACTGCGAAGGGTGGCGGGAGAGGGGAGGAGAAAGGGTGGGAGAGGGGAGGCGGAAAACTTGGTGGAGGGAGCTGGAAGGGGGAAGCGAGGGGAAGAAGGGGAAGGGGAAGCTCAGCGCTCAGGGGTGGGGGGGTCTCGTTGGCCCAACTGTCTCCCAGCACCGTGAGGGAGGGGGCCTCGGCATCCGCGGAGGAATGGGGAGGAGGGTGTGGAGGTTGAGGTGGGGGGTGTGGAGGTTGAGGAGGGAAAGGTGGGAGGAGGAACAGTAGCTGGGGGGGCAGCAGGTGCTGGGGCGGCATGGGGCAGCACGCTCTGCACCAGGGCCTGCAGGTGTGAGCACATGGCACGGCCCTGAGCAAGCTGCTGAAGGGGGAGCTGCAGGTCCTCCTGCACCCTGCCCTGGATGGTGCAGTGCAGGGCTCACAGGGCCCCCAGGTGCTGGTCCCGGTACCCCTGCTGCGTGCTGGTGGTCCGGAGGAGCCTTTGGGTGCAGGAGGCTGTCCCAGGTGGGGTGGTGTGCCCTGCACGTGCAGCTGGAGCGGCTGTGGAGAAAGAAGGGCAGTGGTCAGTTCTCCCTGGGGAGGCAGTGAATGATGCCCAGCGCCCCCTGCGAGGTGAGGACAACCGTGCCCTGCACCATCAGAGCCGTCGTGCTTGGACAGAGGCCATGATCGGGATGTCTGGCTCTCCCCGGGAGTGGGAGCTGCCCCAAGACCACACCCAGGCCTCTGTGCTGTGCATAGTGTGGCCGAGGACAGGGGTGTACAGGGGGGTGTGAAGGGAAGCCATCCTGCTGGGTCCCACCCCAGGGTCGGGAGCATGTCAGGTCTCTTCACACATGCATGTGGCTATCAGGCCACAGCCCGTGTGGCACGCAACTGGAGCCACCTGCCCAGCACATGCACAGGTGGCTGCGTGATCCATGGGAGGCATGGCCCTTGCGCACGGTCCCTGGTCTCCCTCCTCACTTCCCCTCCCCCTGGGTAGGGGACAGTGATGGCACTTACCTGGTGTGGCTTCCCCTGACGACCCTGCTGACTCGGGTGCCGGGACAGCTCGGGGGTCCCGCTGACGTTGCACCCTCCATGCTGGCCCCAGGTCAGGGCCCTCTTGTCCCGGCTCACTGCCTCCCAGGGTAGCGCGGACCGTCCCGCCCCCCAGGATGCGGTTGAGGGCAGACAAGTAGGGGCAGGTGTCAGCCCCTGCTACGGCGCTGCCCATGGTGGCCCTGGCGTACGCCTGACGCAGCTCCTTTATTTTGAGGCGCACCTGCTCCTGAGTGTGCCTGTGGCCCTTTCTGGCCATGTTGGCCACTATGCAACCATAGACAGCCACGTTCCTCCGCCTGGTGTGGAGATCATGGACATTGGGGGCCTCCCCCCAAACCTCAATGAGGTCCACAATCTCCACACCAGTCCAGGTGGGCACACGCTGTCTACGGCCCCCGGGAGCTGGGCGGGGGACACCAGGCTGGCACTGGCTGCCCGGCTCATGACGGGGCCACTGGGTGCGGGGCTGGCAGTGCTGGCTCTCTGCAGGCAGGCCTCTGGCTCGCACGTGCCCAGTAGCCAGACTCTACCCCTTTAAGGGTACATCTAGGCTACATGCCTCTGGTGACAGAGGCATGTAGATTAGGCTACCCGGTGTAGGAAAATGCAAGGATGATTTAAATAATCGCCGCTTCATTTAAATTTAAATGGCTGCCACGCTGAGCTGATCAGCTGTTTGTCGGCTCAGCACGGTAGTCTGGACGCTCCGCAGTCGCCATCAAAGGCATTTGTCGACCTCCCAGGTATGCCTCCTGGGATGAGGTTTACCTGGGAGGTCGACAAATGCCTTTGATGTCAACCGCGGAGCATGCAGACTAGCATGCTGAGCCGACAAACAGCTGATTGGCTCAGCGTGGCAGCCATTTAAATCGCCGCTTCATTTTCCTATGCCAGGTAGTCTAATGTACATGCCTCTGTCGCCAGAGGCATGTAGTCTAGATGTACCCTAAGGGCACCTGGTCTGGGGGAGAGGACAGGAGAGTAAGCTTTCCTGGTTGTGCCCAGAGTGGCCACCAGGTCTCCCCGGGAAGGGCTGGAGGCCCCCTATTTCGAATTAAGTGTCCACACAGCACTTAATTCGAAATAGCTATTTCGAATTTGTCGTTATTCCTTGTAGAATGAGGTTTACCAAATTCGAAATAAGCGCTCTGCTATTTCCAAATAATTTTGAAATAGTTTGCATGTATAGACGCTATTAAAGTTAATTTGAAATAACGGCTGTTATTTCAAATTAACTTTGCTGTGTAGACATACCCTAAGAAAATAGAGACCTCAGGTTTTCACGAGTTCTGGAGCAAAACATAGGTGAGTGAAACAAAGTCTATTGGTACCCAAACCGAGATCTCCTGCTGTTTCCTTGGAAATTCTGAAATATTTGCAACTTAGGGTGATTAGACAGCGATTTCACATCTGTTTTGTGTGTTTATTTGCTGCTTTCATTAACAGGAACATTTGTCTAGAGACAAAAATGGAACCCTGTAAGCCCAGATCTGCTCTGGAGAAGTGGATGAAAACTCTGACTGTGTGCAACAGCAGTTTGACCGCAACAGTGCTGGCACAAATGGGACCTGTGATACAGAATGAAGCTGGACTCATTCATATAGCAGCATTAAGGAAAAGCAGGTTAACCAACCTGATGGTAAAAATGGATTTCGACATCGGAGCATTGGCTACACTAATGACCTAATTGATGTAAACACTGATTCTGCTGAAGAAGGTGGGTATTTTTCTGTACAGTTCCCTGGATTTAGTGTCCGTCTGGTCTGACCTGAAATTGTGATCATTTGCAGGCAGAGCAGTAGGTGTAGAATAACCGCATTAAAACATAAAGTTCCTGGTTTCCAAGCACAATATTCCTTATAATATTGTTTTAAAAGGCAAAGGAAGAGAAATACAGCAAGTGACACCAAATACATCAGCCAAAAAGTGCATAAACACAGAAGTAGATCCTACAACGCCAATCTGCACCAGCTAAGGATCTGGCCAAAGATCCTTTTCCATGAGGTAGCAACAACTTTCCAGGCAGTAAACATCAAAATCCCCTGCCAAATTGCCATGATTACTCTGGGAAGCAAACACATGTCGATAAATCTCTCTGAGAATGTGCCACTTGGTTTCCTTTTAGCAGCCTGTGTCCACTCAAGTCCTGCTATGGAGGAAGCAGAATGGGAGCCAGGCCTGAACACCACTGTAGTGATGACCCTTTAAAAGGTACAATAGGACCATGACTAACAGCTGCTATAGATAGTGTCCTGAAGATCTTGATGGTGTCCCTCCCAGGGGCCCCTCACTAGAGAGCTGGAGGTCCTGGGAGCAGGCAGCAGTTGGCTATAAAAAGCCACGTGACCAACAGTCGGGTGTTTATACAGCCAACACATTTACCCATCAAAGAATTCAGCAAAATTCCCTCTGATCTCATGATGCCACAAGACCGTTTCCCCTTGACAATCCACAAAGCCCCCAGGAAAGGGCCTGTGATTCTGTGGTCTCAATGCACTCCAGAAAAATGCTACAGCCACAGACATCACCTGTCTGACTCAGAAACCTTATTCTGAGATCTCTATGGAACCCCAACCCTCTTTTGTCCAGGATGAGAGTTTGGCTGGTGCCATAGGAAACCACCCCATTTCCACTGAGACTCTGAGCATCTCTCCTTGCCCCGGCTGGCAAACGCGATCTGGTTCCGCAATCTTTAGAAACATTGGCTGCAAAGATGCCCACCGTCGAAGCTCTTGTAATCCGCTTTTCACCCTCCATCAAGGTCCCTCTGCAGATGCAGCTGGGCTCTCTTCCAATACTCCACAGCTTCCGATGTCCAGCTCCACCTCAATCCCAGTTGGCTGTAAGGAAAGCCAAGAGGAAATTAAGATCACATGTCTAAGGGCTTGTCTATTCCAGCCAGAAAAATTAATCCGAATTAACTGAAGGTGTGAATTTGAACTGGAGGAGCAAAATCATATTAAATCCCTTTGTGAACACACTCATTCAGAATTAAAGTGGCTTTAATTCATTTTGTCTTAATTCACTTCCAACGCTAATTAAGTAAATCCACAAAGGAAGTTAATGTGGTTTAACAAATCCAGTTCAATGCCTTTAGTAAACTTTGATTGACATGTCATGTGGACAAGCTCTAAGCATCTTTAAGGGTACATTGAGGGATCATCTCTCTTTTATTCAATGTCCAGTAAAATACGGTCCTGATTTTCATTTGGGCTTCTGGACACTAGAATCATAGAATACTAGAATTAGATGAGAGCTCGAGAGGTCATCAAGTTAGTCTCCTGCCCTCGTGGCAGGACCAAGCCCCATCTAGATCAGTGTTTCTCAGCCAGTGATACAAGTACCCTCAGGGTACTCGAGAGAAGTCTGGGGGGTACGTCAACACAACTGAAGTTTGGAGAAAACTAAATTTTTGTTTTAAGTTTTACAGCGCGTTATTATTTTTGTACTTTTTACACCCAAAAATTTCATCGCCCACCCAGCTACAATTAAGTTGTTTAAACAAATGTGTTGCAATGGCAGAAAAATGTGTGTGTCCGAAAACTGTAGGTACTTTATTAAACATTTTTTAAAGGGGGCACTTTATAAAAAAAGATTGCGAAACACTGATCTAGACCATCCCTGACAGGTCTCTGTCCAACCTGCTCTTCAATATCTCCAGAGATGGGGATTCCACAGCCCCCCTGGGCAATTTATTCCAGTGTTTGACCACCCTGACAGGCAGGAAGTTTTTCCTAATGTCCAACCTAAACCTCTCTTGCTGCAGTTTAAGCCCATTGCTTCTTGTCCTCTCCTCAGAGGCCCGGGCTTCTGGACCATTTTTCTCCCTCCTCCTTGTAGCACCCTTTTAGGTACTTGAACTGCTGTCATACTACTGCAATACAAAATACAGTCGACAGCCATTTGTCTCAGAAGGGAAACAGATTATAGGGGCGGATCTTCAGGTGGCGTAAATCAGCACAGATCCAGTGACTTCAATGGAGTTACATGGATTACACCAGGGCTACTCAACACGTGGCCCAAGGCCCACATGTTTGTGGCCTGCAGTGAGGTTTGGGTTAATGCGGGGCGCGACACGCAGCCCGCTGGTGTGATCCTTTGAACATTGCCTCCATTGGGAACACACTCTACAATGGCGCGGTGTCTCCCAAGTGGCATGAGCACTGAAAGATGCAAGCAGACGGCTTGGCTGGAACGTACAGGTACAGGGTGTCGGCATTTCTAGCACCCAGGGATGAGATGCTGGGAGTGCCAGGACATTGTGGGAAGTGCTTTGTATTCATGCCCATCAGTGTGAAAGAAGCTATTTGCATATATTTGCAATCTTGCAGCTCTCCACATGTGCTGTGAGTATCATTGTGGTCCCCGGGGCTTCCAAAGTTGATTAGCCCTGGGTTACACCATCTGAGGGCCTCGTCCACAATATCTAATTTGAAGCGGCCATGAGAAGAAAATGACAGCCTCCCACATTAGTAAGCGACCAGGACAATGTTCTTCCTCTTGCAAGACATGATACGGGATCTTGAATGATCATGAATAGTCAGGAGTGTATCAGTGAAACCAGTAAATCAATCAAGTTAGAAAAGGTGCAACTGATTTATTGCACATGGAAATATTAAATGGGCCCTTTAGAAAGGGGAGGAGATGCATGCACATCCCACAATTTAATAGATCGATTGCATTTTGTTCTCATCCCCCAAATCCATCACAGTGGCCTGCCAGCGACTCCTGGATGAGGTCAGAACTCCTGCATCCCTCCCTCAAGGACTCAGTCTCTGACTGGCATCCTAATCCCCTCACCAGTCCCACCTGGGCTCTCCAGGGAAGCCTCACCTGCCGGGACGATTTGGTTAAGGTAGCAACACGATGGGTGCTGGCGTTTCCCCCTGGCCCTGCTCTGCTCTCTAACAGCACCCGGGTGCTGGGCACGAAACTCCAGGAGCGACCCAGGGCTGGTTTCAGATGCCCACTGCTGCTCTCTCTGGTCACGTGGTTAGTCACCTGCAACGCCACAAAACAGCTCATTCCAGCAATACTCCTTACTCCTTCAATGACACATGGGGCCCATCAGGGAGCTAGTGCATGCACCAGTGGCTTCCATCAAATTGTATTCTTCTCCGCCTTTGCCCCTTGCCATGACTGGCCATGCTGCCCCTCTAAATGCAACACGGTTTGGCTCTGTGTGCCGCACATGTGCTCCAGTCCCTGCATGGCCACCATGATCTACGTCTTAGAAGCATGAACATCTACTACATGAGCTAAAGCACCACATTCTGTTAGCCCAACTAGACTCAATCCACTTTACATGGTCCCCCCCAATAGAGGGAGTTAAAAAGCCCCAGGTGTTAGCCTGGGATACAGACTGTTGAGGTAAGACCCGTGCGTTGGATTAAATGGGGTGAGTAACCTCCATCTCAGGGGCTAAATATGGCCCCCAGCTTGCCCGGATCAGGCTCCCAAGGCTTGGGCCTCCTCCCCCACAGCATCAAGGAGCTAGCGCTGGCGCCCCACCCTGCAGCCCCCCGTGACTCCCTCCATGGGGCTGAAGAGTCAGCACCCTACTATCCTCCCAGACCCCCCACTCCCAGCCTGCTCCTTCTCAGACCCACCAACCCCCAACACATTCCTACCTCCCAGACCTCACAACACAAGCCTGCTTCCCAGCAGCCCCAGAGCCTGGAGGGCCCACAAAATCTACTAGCCCCGGCCCCTCTAGGCTCTGGTGTACAAGAGGAACGTGGGGAGCATCTTTTTGCTTTGCAGTCGGGGGCTATGTCAGTGAGGTGCGGGGATTTTTTCCCCATTCATTTTTGTGCAGTCCCCGACAACTGATTTTTCTGTGGGTCAGCAGCCCCTGACCCGAAAGAAGATCCCCCACCCCGGCTTAAAATGAATGCTGGCCCCAGACTAGCGAGGCAAGGCCAATGTGTAACTGACTGCAGCGTGTCCCACCTGGTGAGCTAAACCTTGACTCTATGATTAAAAGGCTCAGAAGAGTCACTAACAAACAGGACTATGTAGCACTTTTTTTTGTTTCAGCTACACCAGACAAACATGGCTACATTTCTATCTCTAAGGGTCACTGTGTTAGTCTGTCTGCAAAAACAACAATGAGTTGTGGCACCTCAGAGACTCACAGATGTATTAGGGCATAAGCTTTTGTGGGTAAAACTCACTTCATCAGGTGAGTTGGAGTGGAAGTTACAGAAGCAGGCGTCTATATGTGGAAGATGTTGCTTGTGTTAATGAAGCTAATCCTTTGTGAGCTTAAATGCAAAAAGGAAGTTTACAAGAGATTAGGAGAGATCCTGGACGATTGGAAAAAGGCAAATGTAGGGCCCATCTTTTAAAAAGGGAAGAAGGACGATCCAGGGAACTACAGACCAGTCCGCCTCACCTCAGCAGTCCGTGGAAAAATCCTGGAAGAGATCCTCAAGAAACCCATTCTGAAGCACTTGGAAGAGGTTGAAAGTGATCAGGAATAGTCAACATGGACTCACCAGGGGCAAGTCCTGCCTGACCAAACTTATTGCCTTCTATGATGAGGTAACTGGCTCTCTGGACATGGGGAAAGCAGTGGATGTGATATACTTGACATTAGCAAAGCTTTTGATATGGTCTCCCACAATATTCTTGCCAGCAAGTTAAGGGAGTATGGATTGGATAAATGGACTGTAAGATGGACAGAAAGCTGGCTAGACTGTTGGGCCCAACGGGTAGTGATCAATGCCTCGATGTCAGGTTGGCGGTCAGTTTCTAGTGGAGCATCTCAAGGATCGGTTCTAGGGCCTGTTTAGTTCAACATCTTTATTAATGACCTGGATGAGGGGATGGATTGCACCCTGAACAAGTTTGCAGGTGACACAAAGTTGGTGGGAAGAGGTAGATACACTGGAGGGCAGGGATAGGGTCCAGAGTGACTTAGACAAATTAGAGGATTGGCCCAAAAAAATCTGATGAGGTTCAACAAGCACAAGTGCAAGTCCTGCACTTGGGAGGGAAGAATCCCAAGCATTGTTACAGGCTGGGGACCAACTGGCTAAGTAGCAGTTCTGCAGAAAAGGACCTGGGGACTATAGTGGATGAGAAGCTGGATATGAGTCAACAGGGCACCCTTGTAGCCGAGAAGGCTAACGGCATATTGGGTTGCATTAGGAGGAGCATTTTCAGCAGATGTAGAGAAGTGATTATTCCCCTTTATTCAGCTCTGGTGAGGCCACATCTGGAGTATTGTGTCCAGTTTTGGGTCCCTCACTATAGAAAGGATGTGGACGCATTGGAGAGGGTCCAGCGGAGGGTGTCCAAAATTATTAGGGGGCTGAAGCGCATGATCTAGGAGGAGAGACTGAGGGATTTGGGTCTGTTTAGTCTGCAGAAGAGAAGAGTGAGGGGGGATTTGATAGCAGCCTTCAGCTTCCTGAAAGGAGGTTCCAAAGAGGATGAAGAGAGGCTATTCTCAGTAATGACAGATGGCAGAACAAGGAGCAATGGTCTCAAGTTGCAGTGGGGGAGGTCTAGGTTGGAGATTAGGAAAAACTATTTCCCTAGGAGGGTGGTGAAGCACTGGGCTGGGTTCCCTAGGGAGGGAGTGGAATCTCTATTCCTAGAGGTTTTTAAGTCTCAGTGTGACAAATCCCTGGCTGGGTTGATTTAGTTGGTGTTGGTCCTGCTTTGGGCAGGGGGCTGGATTTGATGACTCCTTAGGCCTCTTCCAGCTCTATGATTCTAATTAAGTCAGGGTGAAAGTGGCTCATTCACAGTATTTGGTGTGAAGACATGAACAACAAGAGAAGGGAAAAATTGCTGTTGTAATGCGTTAACTAAGAACAATGCACAAAGGGCTTTCCAGTCACTGTCCATTTATAATGCCTTGAAGCTACCCAAAGACAACTGGCTCTAGGACCACTCTGTCTCTGACAGCTCTCCAGGCACCGAAATTATTTAGGAATCAACAGCAGTTACTGCATCAGAGATCAATGCCAACCACCCTAACATCTACCGGTCCTCAGCTCCTTCTGAATCAGCAAGCCAACATGGCAGAGTTAATAAAAGCCACCTATGGCCTGGCTCTGTTCTTGCCCTGCAGCCACAAGTGTTTGGGGGCTGGATGGAAGCTGAGCTTCAATTCATTGTATGCTCCCAAGTGACCGATGCCTGCAGAGCGGCAGGAGTCCCATTTCCCTCCCCTGTGCAGCTTTGAACGGATTCCCTTCTGCCATAAACATCTGCCCCCCCATGCGTTTTTGACTCCAGATCCCTGCTCCCAGCCCAAGGAGAGAAAGGCAAAGTCCAACCAACTCACCACCACGGCCATGCTAAGTTCTCTAGCAAGCATCTTCAGTTCCCGGGCCAGCTGCATCATGAGGGCCAAGCCTGTGGATGACAAATGCAAGGGGATTTCAGGGCTTGCTTCCATTCCAAGTGCCTTAGAGACCCCGACTCTCCTGAGAGAATCAAGCGGGAGCCATTCCCAGCACAGAGGGTGAGAGTGCACTTAGTGCAGCTCATACATCCTATTGGGTCAGTCCCTGGACTCCAATTTTTCTTAGCCAGCCAATGAACCTACATAGGCAGCAGCCGTTCCATCTTTCCCTCCTCCACCCCAACACATACATTATTAATGTGCACCACCCCTGCTTTACCAAAACGGTCAACACCAACAGTCCCCATTTACAGATGGGGAAACGAAGGCACAGGGAAGGGAAGTAACTAGCACAAGGTCATCCCATCAGCCGGTTGGAGACATAGCAATAGATCCAAGGTTTCCCAAGTCCCAGTCGAGTGCTCTGACCACCAGGTAACCATGTCTTCCTCCCCTAAGCCACATGACCCATTCGATCCTTGCCTCTCAGCCGAAACTGCCCACTTGGCCCTAACTGTGAGCCTGACCGAGCATTCACACCTGTCCCTTAGAAACTGGACTGCTCGTCCCCTGCTTGCGTCAGGCCACCAGACAGCTGCTGGCGGCATTTTCTCCACTGACTTGCAATAACCACAAGCCACATGGCTCGGGGATCGACAAGGGAATCCCTCACCCCTAGGTGCACTCAAACGCAGCCCAAGTCAGTAGCGACCTGTGTGAAGTGTTTTAGCCTTGGCCAGTCAGTTCCAGGAGCAATTGCCCGTACACGATACCCCCCTCCCAGCCCCCGCTCACTAGAAATCAGCAACACTCTGTACTTGTGCTAGCAGCCCCACCACATTTTGCCAAGTAAGAAATCAGATCAGCTTTCTGGCTAATTGGGAGGCAGTAAATAAGTGGGTACCTCAATGGTACATTGTTAAGTGGTCTCCAGGATGTGCACGGTCTCTGCTGTATCCTAAGCAGACAGGGCATTATATCGCCCCGCATCAAAACCAAACGACAAAGATTTCCTTGCCCACGTCCCTACATCCTGGGGCCTCATGGGTCAGACTGCATGGGGGGCACTGACAGCCCAGAATGCCAGCTGGAAACGCTGCAGGTAGCGAGCAGATCCAGCAGAAATACCGGAAGCAGATTTCCCTATTCCCTCCTTGCATGGGGCCCTTTGTGCCAAAGGCATGTCTGTTTCAATCCCCGCCCATCTCGGGATGGTATGGAAGCAGGGGTCCCGCTAAGATTTTCCAACCACGAGCGGAAGGAGTTTTGGTTTGTGCACCAATGTTGAGGTCATGTGCGCTGGTTTGGATGTGCCACAGTGGCACCCAATTTATTAACACACACGAGTTCCCGGCAACTGGAGCAGACACTCTTCCTCGCCGTCCCAGCCACCAGAACATGCCCCGACTTCCCCTGCCACATGGCAGCCCCAGCCACCAGAGCAGGCCTTCCGCCGTGCCCGCCACGAGGTTGTGGCAGGTCCTGGCCCCCTGCTCCAGCGGCTCCCTGCCCATGTTGTCTCTCCAGAGGAGGTGGGTGGGGGGAGAATTTGTTGTGTGCGGCAGCGCAGGCGCACACCTCAGTGGGAACTGTGTGTGTGTGTGTAAGTGATGGATTCTCATCAGCAAAGGGAAGCGGCAGGATAATGGAAGCCTCTCTCTGTGCACACCATGGCCAGCAAGTGTTTCTTTGCGGCACAGACCCAATTTTGAATCCTCCAACTCTGCTCACCCAGCGGTGCCCCTCACTCACCCTCTGCCTGCCAGCCACCTAGGAGCGGGCAAATCACAGCAGAGACGGAGTCAACCACCAGCACCTTCACCGGCGCCGAGGAGCTCAGGACCTGGGGGGCGAAGCACAGAGGGTGAGGGGACTGCACAGGACACGGAGGGGCAGCAGGACTGTTTGTGCCAGCGCAGGACGCGTGGTCCCCAGCCGCTTTGGGACAAGACCAGAGTCCTGACGGAGCCAGAAGATCCAGACGTGAACAGACCAATCCCGTGAGTGTGCTCACGTGAGCAGCCCCGGGGGTTCCCAGGGTTTGGCCACCGTGCTAACTGGGTGGATCTTTACCCAGTCCCAGCGAGAGCAGAGCCCCACCTGCTGGGACATGCTGCAGCGGAGCTCCTGTACCACATCCAGCATGGCGTAGACATCGAACACCCGGGCCACCTGAATCCGCTGCAGAGCCTCTGCCTGCCGAAAGAGAGCAGCAGAGACAGCCGGTTCAAACTCAACCTTACCCTCTTCAGGAACAGCATCGTCGTCCACACAGAACAAGACACTGCGAAGTCCAGCATGGCTACAGTAGGTAAAACCTGGGGCCCAGCATCCTCCGCCAACCCATCCACTCCAAAGATCCCTTCCCACTGCTCCCATGCAGCAGCGCCACAATCCTCACTTCGCAGGTGGGAAACTGAGGTACTGAACCAAGGTGGCCAATGTTTGGCAACTTACATTTATAACATGGGGCCTGGTTCTCAGGAGACGCTGGGCACACTGAGCTCACACTGAGCCAGGAGAGAAAGGTTTGGGGTGCAGGAGGCAGCCAAGAGAAGCCCAAAACGACAAAGGCTGGATGCCTGAAAGTCCATCCGAGAAAAAGTCGGATTCTTGGGGGTCGTGGGCACCTGTCCTGCTGGGTCAGGGCAGGCCACTCTCAGCAGCAGCGGCTGAGCAGCTCCACCGGCAGCTGTCAGGGTCAATGATGCAGCCACACTGACCTGCTCCTCCTCACCTCCCATCCTGGTCTGCGCCAGCTGGAGCAGGCGAGAGGCCGTGAACCCGCCCGTGGAGTCGACGTAAAGGACACTCTGCCGGAGGCCATGGGCCGCGCTCATGGCAATGCTGAGGCACACCTAGGCGGAAGAGCAGGTGGGTGGATCTCACCCTGTTCCGGTCCTCGTTTCTAGGGGAGGGGCTTGTTTGCATACTGCCCCCACCAGGTTACACCTGAACCACGCTCAGGAGATGTCTGCAAGTCCTGTTACAGGACACTGGAGCCGCCAGGGCCCTTGACCTCTGCAGGCCAGGAGACTGACGCAGTAAGACCTCCCCAAACAGATCCAGGCCTATGCCCCTGACATGCTGGGGGACTACCACGTGCTCCAGGCAAGGCCTGGGTCACACCTCAGCAAGTTTCAGACGTGGTGCAAGATGCATCAGTTTGGGCCTACTAACTGGAGAAGATCAGTGGCCACAGAGAGGAGGAGTCTGGATTCTTGCCAGATGTCTGGCCACAGCTGTTTATTGGTCTTCAACTGTAGTAAATATCCCCCAGTGAGCACAAACCACCAAACAATGAAAGGTGGAACAACAAACCAGACCCACGCTCCCAGTCCCCAGGGATGCCACTGATGATGGGGTGTAAAGCTAGACCACCTTAAACAGCAGGAGGCGGGGGAGGGGATTAGAACATCAGCTCTTTTCGGCACAGACCAGTCAGCCCCTGAACTGCCCACCTGTGTCTTGCCAGTGGCCGGCGCTCCTGTGAGCTCTGTGACTTCCCCCGTGTACAGGCCAGAGTCCAGCAGTTTATCCAGGCTAAAGGAGAAACACACAACAAAGAGAATCAACCATACTAAACTAACAAAGGCACAGAGAGGTAGCCGTGTTAGTCTGAACAAAAAAAGCAGTCATGTAACACTTTAAAGACTAACAAGATAGTTTATTAGGTGATGAGCTTTCGTGGGGCAGACCCACTTCTTCAGATCATATTCTGAAAGCAAATTGGCATTATATAACAGAGGGATATAACGAAAAAAGTAAAAAAATACAAACAGATCAGCTACATAGAACAGAAGGTGGCAGAGCGCTTTCGTGGGGCAGACCCACTTCTTCAGATCATATTCTGAAAGCAAATTGGCATTATATAACAGAGGGATATAACGAAAAAAGTAAAAAAATACAAACAGATCAGCTACATAGAACAGAAGGTGGCAGAGCGGGAGTGACAAGGAAGGAGGAAATTGCTTATGGTGTTAAAGTCTCTTTGCTGTAAGACGCATGTTGTCAGGTCTTTAAGGGAATGACCAATTTGATTGAAATTCTGGCCGACAGGTTTGTGTGTGTGGAGATTTCTAATGTCTTATTTGTGAGCATTGATTCTTTGGTGAAGTGACTGACCAGTCTGTCCAATATACATCGCAGAGGGGCATTGCTGGCACATAATGGCATAGATCACATTGCTGGATGTACAGGAATCTGAGCCCTGACATGATTAGGCCAGTGATGGTGTCTCCAGAGTAAATATATGGACAAAGCTGGCAATGGGGTTTGTTGCAAGGGAAAGTTCCAGGATTAGTTTTAACACCAGATTACAGAGGGAGACCTCAGAACTTTTATTTATGCTAAAATTCAATACGTTGTGAATGGGCTTTAATTTAGACGATAATTACCTTCCACATTACAAAGACAGCCTCCCCACCTTTTGATATTTGTAGTGACCCCAGATTAGCCACTTATTGACTCTTACAATAAGCAACTTCCTCTTTCCTTGTCCCCCCCCCCCACCCTTGCCCCTACCTTCTGTTCTATGTAGCTGATTCGTTAGTTTGTAATTTGTTTACTTTTTTCATTGTATCCCTCTGTTATTAATGATCATGCCAATTTACTTTCAGAATATGATCTGAAGAAGTGACCTTCTGGTCTATGTAGCTGATTTGTCAGTTTGTATTTTTTTTTCTTTTTTCATTGTATCCTTCTGTTATATAATGGTCACACCAATTCACTTTGGCTGTGTCTAGACTGCATCCCTTTTCCGTAAAAGGGATGCAAATTAGACACATCGCAATTGCAAATGAAGCGGGGGGGATTTAAATCCCCGCTTCATTTGCAATTGCGATGTGTCTAATTTGCATCCCTTTTCCGGAAAAGGGATGCAGACTAGACACAGCCTTTCAGAATATGATCTGAAGAAGTGGATCTGCCCCACGAAAGCTCATCACCTAATAAACTATCCTGTTAGCCTTTAAAGTGCTACGTGACTGCTTTTTTTGTTTTACCAAAGGCAGGAAATCAGCAGCTCCGCTGTCCTCAGCCAGGCCACCTCAGAATCTAACCCCCAGGGATTCGCCCCTTCCCGTCACTCCTCTTTCCATTTCCGGTGAGGGAGGAAACGCCGCAGCGGGGCAGGTACAGGAACAGCCAGCAGGAAAGCCTTTGCCTCAGGGGAAGCTCTGGAGGTTTGAATACAGCATGAAGGTGACCAGTGGGCTTCTCCAAAGAGTCACGTTTGATTATTATAACCAGCAGGGAAGGAGAAAGGGGGAGGAGCTGATACTATGGATCAAGTGGTTAATTTCTATACTAGACCTCTCACTCAGGGCTGTCCTGAAGCCAAGCTGTGCCAGTGCTGGAACCCTCCTTAATGGGGCCAGTTGCCACCTGTGCAAATGCTCGTAACATTTTGCAGCCGAAGGGGATACAAATCTCCAGCAGATGCTGGGCAAGATGGCTACATCTGGGGATGCGAGCAAGGTTCAACTGCAGGAGCGTAGGCTGGCAGCTTGCAACAGGTGACCAGTGCTACTATGCTAATGCTATGGCCAGGAAAGCAGAAACTTCATCTATTCAAGGCAACCCTGCTGCTTCCCAGTGTACAACGTCCCCAGCTCAGTCAGAGCCCTGACAGACAAAGAGTCAGCTCAGATTTCAGCCAAGTGGCTTGAAGCATCTCAAGGTGGAAACTTACAATCCAACTCAGATTCCTGGCAAAGGGACAAACCTTTTCGCTTTAACCCTGGGCCCCTTCGCACATGTTCTCACCTCTCGCTCCCTGTGGGCAGGATGGCCATAGAGCTCTTGAGTTCCTCGTAGAGATCCGCTCCGTTGACAGGAAAAGCTGAAAACTGCGCCAGCAGCACACGTCTCACGGCAACCAGAGCCTGTGGGGAGACACCCCCCCCAGTGAGACCGAAGGATTCTGAGCACATGGTGGGACAAGGACTGGCTTTGTACAGCACCAAGCACAATGGGGTTGTGGTCCATGACAGGGGCTATCAGGGGACGCTCTCAGTACAAAGAATATTGACTTCCCCACAGAAGGAATTGTTACAGATGGACTGACAGAGCGAGGCAACAAAGGGTCAGGTCTACAGCTTGCAGCGTACAGGCTGACTGGGGTGGGCGATGCATTGTTAGCCCAGTTGTGCATTAGGGAGTGGTCTCCGCAGACAGACAACATATGCCAGAGCACTGGGCCAAACACAGCTCTTCTCCAGCAGGCTCCAGCTTTAGCACCCAGGTAAAACATCAGACCAAGGAATCTCTTCTCACCTTGTAGGACAGGGAGCACTTGCGGGCAACTTCCTCCAGGTCCGAGGAGACAAGGTCCACCACTGCAAGGAACAATCAGAGATCAGCAGCTGGAGGTCAGACCGTAACAGCCCTGACATGCCAGGGAACCCATTGGTTACCTCTCCCCATGACGCTCCTCTGCCCTGGCCTCTCCCAGCCACAAGCCAGAGCCAGCGCCAGCTCTGGGCAACCTGACCCACCGCTGTACACATAGACACACCGAGCTGTATTAACTGCGCTCAGCCAGTGGTTGGCAGGACTCCCAGTGCCGTGGCGAGTCACAGGAAGGTTCATCGAAGATGCCACAGGCCCAGTCTGAGACACGTTCACTCCTAGGTTTGCCACAGAACACAGAGCGCAAAGTGAAGGGCCTTTGGGACTCATCCATCCACTGTTCTCGCCCCGCAGGGGGCCTGCTGCAGACAGGGGCTACTCCAGCTGCCCCCCTCCGGTGCCCCCTTTAATTGGTTAACTGGTTCACCAATGACATGGGATTTCACATCCCCTGTCAGAACCTGAGGAAGGTCTCCAGTGGCCACGGCTGTGTCACTGCTATTCTTCTTCCAGCCGCCCGGTCTCTGTACTCCATGCACACTGCAGACGGCAGCGCAGACCTAGCCTCAGACACGGAGACAAGGCAGACGCAGCTCTGTGATGTGTGGCTGCCTTACCAGGATGGGAACTCAGGTACATCCCCCCTCACACTGCTGAGCAGCCAAGAGACGCGTGGTGGCAGGCAGGAGTGCAGGGTGCTCCCCGGCAGTGGGGCTAGAAGCGCATTGGCTGCTGGCCCCACCCCCGGGGACTATCGAACAGTCATGTGACTGCTAAGATTTCATGCGGTTCCACGACTACTCAGTTACCCGACAGCTAACATCCCTACTACCCACAGCCACACAGCACAGACAAGAGAGCTCTATGCCCTCCCCTGGCAACCCCCCTCCCCAAATCCCCCCAGAAATGGGGGAGACCCCAGTGCTAAGACCCCAGGCTGCCCCTTCACCTGTTGTGATGTTGTTGGCTTTCAGAACCTGGATCATCTCTGCTGTGAGGCCGGGGCAGAGCCCTGCTCGGAGGATCGCCATGGGTCCCCGTGACAGCCCCTCTGGGGACAAGGACAGGAGCTACACGCAGAGAGGCCGAGAGCCACGCAGGCACAGACCCTGTGCAAGAGAGAAGAGGGCGGGTCTGATATTCCAGGGACACGGAAATGCCATTGCCCTTCACTCTCCCTACCACCACATGCCTCTTGGCTGAAACATCCCAGCTTAATGAACCAAGCTTCAGTCACGTCCCAAGGACAGCACTGTGAGTAGGGCCTACTGTAGGGCTCGCCATGCCATGAAGCCTCCCTCAGGATCTGGTACCTAAGAACAGCCCTATTGGGTCAGACCAAAGGCAGCTGTTGTGACTGCAGGGGGGCCCCAGGGGGAGTCTGGGGGAGACCTTATTCCTAGTGTGGAGAAGCAGCGAGGAGTCCTGTGGCATCTTATAGACTAACTGAAGTGTAGGAGCATGAGCTTTCGTGGGCAAAGACCCACTTTGTCAGCTGCATGTGTGGAGGGGAAGCCAGCATGGCGTGACGGCTCCTAGGCAGGACTCCTAGGCACCCCCGTCAGACCAACCACCACCAGCAGAGCCCGGTGCCCTCAGACCAAGGGAGGGGAACGTGTACACGGCTAACTGGTGCTGGGCTCATCGGTTAACGCTCTGTAACCCCCTCCAACACCTCTGTACGGGCTGAGTCCCAGAGCCCCCCGGCCCCCCCCCCCCCGGGCCTGGCCGCTCAGAGCCCCCCTCCCCCCCGGCCCCTCTCCGGGCCTGGCCGCTCAGAGCCCCCCTCCCCCCCGGCCCCTCTCCGGGCCTGGCCGCTCAGAGCCCCCCTCCCCCCCGGCCCCTCTCCGGGCCTGGCCGCTCAGAGCCCCCCTCCCCCCCGGCCCCTCTCCGGGCCTGGCCGCTCAGAGCCCCCCTCCCCCCCGGCCCCTCTCCGGGCCTGGCCGCTCAGAGCCCCCCTCCCCCCCGGCCCCTCTCCGGGCCTGGCCGCTCAGAGCCCCCCTCCCCCCCGGCCCCTCTCCGGGCCTGGCCGCTCAGAGCCCCCCTCCCCCCCGGCCCCTCTCCGGGCCTGGCCGCTCAGAGCCCCCCTCCCCCCCGGCCCCTCTCCGGGCCTGGCCGCTCAGAGCCCCCCTCCCCCCCGGCCCCTCTCCGGGCCTGGCCGCTCAGAGCCCCCCTCCCCCCCGGCCCCTCTCCGGGCCTGGCCGCTCAGAGCCCCCCTCCCCCCCGGCCCCTCTCCGGGCCTGGCCGCTCAGAGCCCCCCTCCCCCCCGGCCCCTCTCCGGGCCTGGCCGCTCAGAGCCCCCCTCCCCCCCGGCCCCTCTCCGGGCCTGGCCGCTCAGAGCCCCCCTCCCCCCCGGCCCCTCTCCGGGCCTGGCCGCTCAGAGCCCCCCTCCCCCCCGGCCCCTCTCCGGGCCTGGCCGCTCAGAGCCCCCCTCCCCCCCGGCCCCTCTCCGGGCCTGGCCGCTCAGAGCCCCCCTCCCCCCCGGCCCCTCTCCGGGCCTGGCCGCTCAGAGCCCCCCTCCCCCCCGGCCCCTCTCCGGGCCTGGCCGCTCAGAGCCCCCCTCCCCCCCGGCCCCTCTCCGGGCCTGGCCGCTCAGAGCCCCCCTCCCCCCCGGCCCCTCTCCGGGCCTGGCCGCTCAGAGCCCCCCTCCTCCCGGCCCCCCCCCCCGGGCCTGGCCGCTCAATTACGAATGGAAACCGAACAAGCCCGGGGCGCTGCAGCATTTCCCGTACGACGGAAGCCCCGGCTGAGCCAGACCCCCCCGCACAGACCGGCCCCGCCTCTCTCGTCCCGGCCTGACTCCGCTTCCTGCACCCGGGCCGGAGACCAGCGCCTGCCGGCAGCGGGGAAGCTCCACTGCAGCTCGCTCGGGAACACGCGCGCTTGGCCGCACCAGGGCCCCGGCCCCTTCCTGCGCCTGTGAAATCCCTGCGGAGCGACCCGCGCGTGGCTCTTCTATGCCCCTGTCTGCCCAGGGTCTCACGAGAGCCACAGGTTCAGAGGGCACCGCCAGCGCAACAGGGACCCCTGAGCTGGCCCTGCAAGCAGATCTATGCAGGGGGACAGCTGGTCTCCGGTGATTAACTGCAGAATCGAGGCCTGTAAGAAAAGAAATTAGCAACTGACTGATCCCCCACCTGCAACACACCCTCTTGTGTCAGTTGTTGAGGTTAGCAGCATTGGGTTCAGTCCTCCACTTTGCTCCTCTGTGCAGCCACTTGGTCCCATCCCTGTAATGCACAGAAATTCTGGAACTGCGAATTGGACCTGTCAGGGGGTTGTGAGTTTATTACCTGGGAGGAGGGGAAGGAGCACAAGGAGTGATCCCAAACCCCACTTCACCTCCAGCATTTATAACAGTGGTAAATATATAAAGAGTTTTCAATGTATAAAGGCGGGTCACACTCAGAGGATTGCTGTGTGAAAGGGGCCACCAGTACAAAGGTTTAAGAACCTCTGCCTTAGTTAGCCCTCCTCACTTCATTCAAGTGAGTAACCCCATCACCTGCAATGAGGCTACATGTATGCATCTCACTCAGCCCATGCATGAGCAGGACTTTAATTATTTAGACCTGATCTTCAGAGGTATTTAAGTACCTAACTCCCATTTAAATCTAGACCCCCTAACTCTCATTGATTTCAACTGAAATGTACAGCCTAAATACTTCTGAGAGGCTGAGTCTTTCTTCCTTGCTGAAATGCCCGGCACTGAGAAAGCAGAAAGAAAATAGCTTTCTATGCTTTTTTTATAACAATTTGTAAAAAAATGTAAATTAAATTTGTAAAAAATTAACCTGAGCCCCTGTTAGAAATGAACACTGGATTCCAAGAATAGCGGTGAGCATACAACACATAGGCATCTTCAGATCACAGCGCACTAAGCAGGTAGCTTTAGAAATCTTGTCAATTACCCAAAACTGTTCTGAACCTGATGTATGACATAGATGCTGCACAACCTTTCTATGCCCTAGCAAGTCAACTGGGGGAGGGAATCCAAGCCTACTCCCAGCTGGGATGTGTTTTTAATCAGCTGTTTTGTGGAAGGATGTAGCTCTTTTGGGACTGGCAGGTTCTTGAGCAAGAATGGCTGTCGGGTGGCCTGCCCATATAGGCGAACTAGGCAGTCACCTAGGATGCTAAGCTAAATGGGGCACCAAATGGTGGCACAATATCATTGAGGGGTTTGGAGGTAGGGGTGCTGATTGCATGGTTCGCCTAGGGCGCCAGTTACTGGCAGCTAGTCTTGGGCCGCCCCTGAGCAGAGGCAGCTCGTGCCTATAGGCAAACTCAGCAGCCACCTAGGGCACTGAGTTAAATGGGGTGCCAAATTCCCTGCCACTTCCCCTTCCCCTAACACCTGGCTTCAACCCCGGAGGAGGAGTGCGGCAGCTTCCCTGCACCGCAGGAGGGGTGAGTTGGCCCCGAGGAGGAGTGCGGGGAGTTGGCCCCAGGGAAGGCAGTGCACGGGGGTTCCCTGCGCTGCAGGACGGGGGATCGGCCCCGGGTTAGGCACGGGCTGGCCTCCCCTGCGCTGTGGGAGTGGGGGGTTGTCCCCGGGAGAGACACGTGCGGGGGTTCTCTGGACATGGGGGGGGGCGACCCCAGGGGAGGAGGCGTGCAGGGGTTTTCCTGCGCCACGGGAGGAGAAGGGTTGGCCCCAGGATAGGCACGTGCTGGCTTCCGCTGCACTGCGGGCGGGGCAGTCGGCCCCGGGAGAGGCACGTGCGGGGGTTCTCTGACCGTGGGAGGGGGGGTTGGCCCCGGGGGAGGCGGCGCGCGGGGGA